GAAATGATGGGTGACCCCCTGGGAAGTGTTTGCAGATTTATGGGGTTGGGCTTTAGATTGGGCTTTCATTGGACTTCTTATAGTGGGCTATCTGCCTCGGGTGTTTAACGGGCCCCGGGGTAGTCACGAGGTTAACGGACCTAGGGCCCCCTGCTTGTAACCGACCGTTCCAATAATATTAATAAAAAAATTTTTTTAAATATATATATATATATATATATATATATATATATATATATATATATATATATATATATATATATATATATATATATATGGGATTGACTCCAGTCAGATGACATCTTTCAATCAGATGACACTTTCGGTCTGATGTCATGCATCAGAATGAGCACCACCTTGTTTGAGATAGAGCACCACCTTAATTGAGAATGAACACTGCACTGAGGAGACTGTGAATGAGTACTAGGTTCTTTCAGAATGAGTACTACGTTTATAATGAACAAATGTGTGAAAAATCAACCCTACAATGTCTTAGAATGAACACTACGTGGATTCAAAATGAACCCTATGTTGTCGTCTCGCTGGCTATGAATGAACACTACATTGTGATGAACAGTTGTGTGAGAATGAATCATACGTTGTTTAAGAATGAGCACTACATTGATTTAGAATGAGCATTCGTTGTCATCTGACCGAAAGTGTCATCTGACCGAAACATGTCATCTGACTGGAGTCAATCCATATATATATATATATATATATATTTCGTGTATATGTATATATATATATATATATATATTATATACATATACACGAAATATATATATATATATATATATATATATATATATATATTTCGTGTATATGTATATATATAATAAATGTTATATTACTTATTTTGTTTTAATTATATGATAATTTGTTTTGTTCTCTTAATACTTTACACCAAATATTTTATATTTTAGAAATATTCTAGAGTACAATTACTAGCATAATTTTCTCTAGAACGCTCTTCATTGTTCGTGTGTCTCAACTGGAGGTCATATACTTTTGTGGCTAGCTCTTGGATCAATCCATCAACCTACACATATCGTTACTTGCTCGCCAAGAAAGGTATATTTCTAAACAATAACTTATAATAATCATAAGAGGTCCTGGGTGGATCTACGTTTGGACCTAAAAAATTTTATATTTCCGCTGCCCTATCCAAGCGTAGAACCCAACAGAAAAGCCTCGCACTTTCTGCGTATAAGACGACGAACTTGCATATAGGAAATGAATTCGGGAGCTTTCGGGAAAAGCTCACCGTGGACTACTATTTCGCTGCCGTCCTCGGCTTCCAGCCGTACAGTGTGTGCACCACAATCAACCACAGCTCGGTTGGCGGTGAGCCAATCCATGCCCAGAATAAGGTCAAATTCCCGATGTGGAAGTTCGATCAGATTTGCAGGGAAACTCTTCCCTTGCACCACTAACGGACACTTAGAATAAATATGGTTGAGACGTAGACTGTGTCCCAACGGGTTAGACACAACAACCGGACTCTCTAGCTTCTCTCTCAAGATGCCCGACGCGGTAGGCATAGACGTACATAAATACGACAATGTAGAACCTGGATCAATAAAAGCAGATATGCATGTATCGAATAAAGTGAAAATACCCATAATCACGTCATGGGCAGGCTGTTCAGTGCGTCCATGCATGGCATAGGTGCGGGCTGGAGCCTTCCCGGACTGTGCGCTCTGCGCCGGCCTCTTTCGTTGACTAGATGCCACTACCGACTTCTGGCTCGATGCGGGCTGGGCTGCTGGAGCTGAAGCTGCGGCTGCTGTTGGAAACGCCTCGCCAGGGTTCGTCGGGCAGTCTCTACGGAAATGCCCGGCCTGTCCACACCCAAGGCATAAGCCCTGAGTGAACCAACACTCACCGGAATGCCTTCGGCCACAGGAGTTGCAGGGCGGGTTCCGATACCCACCTTGGCTCTGGCCCTTTCCGCTCCTCTGAGTGGGTGCTGATGACGGGACTGGTGCGGACTTCACCTTTTTGCTCGTGTGTGAACTGCTCGGCACGAAAGGAGGCCTCTTGCTGCTTGAGCTGGACTTGGGTGGCGGTGGCGGAAGAGGATGCGTCTTTTGGGCCTGCTCATACTCGGCCTTCTTGAGTAAGGCCGCCTGTAGCTCCAACGCCTGCTTATATAGATCGTTGATGTCATTCCTAGGCGCAGAGACCAGCCCAGAGGACAAATCAGGGCGTAACCCCTCCCTGAAGCGCTTGCATCGTTTCTCCATCGTCGGCACCATGTCTCAGCCAAACTCGGCCAGCTCATCAAACTTCTGGCGGTACTCTGGTAGCGTAAGTTCACCCTGAGTGAACTTCATGAACTCATCGCGCTTCTCCTCCATAAAGTGCTCAGGCACGTACTCCTCACGGAACAGCTCATCAAAAGTCGCCCATGGCACCGGCTCCGGGACATTCGCTCCCGCGCACTTCCACCAGTCGTAGGCAGCGTCCTGAAGTAAGGCGATGGCTAGGTCGCCCCTCTGCTCTGCCGGAACCCGCAGGGTTTCGAGTACTCGACTTACACGCTCGAGCCAGCGCTTCGCGACCATGGGTTCCGCGATCTGGTTGCCACGGAACTCCTCGGCTCCGTTCTTCTTCAGCTTCTCTATAGTGACCACAACCACCGGAGGCGGCGGCGGCGGTGGTGGTACGTACGCCCCAGCCATCTGCTGGAGAAACTGGAGCATGTTGGCTACCATCTGCGGCTGCAGGAAAGGAACCGCCTGTGGTGGGGCGTTCGGTTGCGGAACCTGCGGCTCCGGAACCTCCTGCTGCGGGGTGAAGCTAGATGCCTCAATATGCACGCTCACGTGCTCCTGTTCTCCCTGAGGACCCACTTCTCCATGCTCGGGAGCATGACTCATCTCCTTTCTGAAAGGAGATTTTCTATAAGGGTTAAGAAATAAACAACTACAATGATAATGGTTACCTTTCCCGGTGGAGATACGAAGCTGGATGTGACAGTGGACCCTGGAGAAAAAATGTTTTTTTTTTCAAGAGTAGATTTCAATTTTTTTTAGAACCGTAACGCTCTGATACCAAAATGTAACACCCTCCGTCCAGCGAACCCGGTTCATCGCGGTCCAACGAGCCGGAGAGGTTACGTAGACGGTTTTTAAGGCCGTCTACAAGAAAACCCTTGTGCTGCTTGTAACTGAAAACCCCATTGTTATATTTTCTTAAATGATGGAAATAAATTCAATTTAAGAGAGAGTGTCATGTAGGGGAAGATAATGCGATTGAAACCGTTAAGTCTTAAATATGTAATACGACAAAAGTGGGTTCAAGCCCAAAATGTTTTTCATGATTAAATAAGTAAATAATCAGCCGCACTGTCGCTCATCCGCCACCCCAATCACCCAATCATACGGGTCAGGCTCCATGGTCTTCTGGCCTACCTGCGTATAGCAAAGAAAACCACGCTATACGCTCAGCATAAGCTGAGTGGTAATCTAACAGTAGAACGCATAGTACATTCATATTGATATAAACATAATCGTACCTGTACTAAGTACGGGGTACCACACACAAGTTTGATGAATAATCAGTTACGAATAGACTACGATGCAATGCCAATTAATCATGATGCATGAGTTAGACTACGCAGGGACCCCTTGCCCTTCGGTGATCATCCCCACGTGGTGGATGACCCGAGGAACGCCTTAGTCATCTCGTTGGAGACTAGAAATGTGGGTGATAGCCAAGCCTAGCTACCATGTACGTACACAAGCCCTCTATATGTGAACCCGCTGGACCCCGTAGGTTCCGGAACGGGCCCGCGGAAGAGGCGCATTGGGCCTGACCTCTTGTCGCGGCATGCAAAGTATGCCATGATCCTAAACATGCGTCTAGGATATACATGATGATATGAAATGCATTGATGAGGTTATGTTCAATGCATACAACCATACTTGATTCCATATGAAAACAACTTATTCAACATGGCAAACCTAGGTTCAGAACTGGCCGACAATCGACTAACCACTGTTGATAATCGATTGTCATGCTGTGCAGTTTTTGTTCCCAAGTTCCGCAGGCCATGCCAATAGATTGAAACCTCATGAAAATCGATTGTCAAGGTATTGTGTTCAAGGCGCCCAAGTTCAGAGAGGCCTGATAATCGATTACAGCTATGTGATAATCGATTACCAGTAGAACCATCCCAGACTTGAGAATCCGCAGGGCCTGATATGTGTTAATCGATTGTCACACTCTGATGATTTCAACGGGAAGTTCCGCGCAGCCTGGTAATCGATTATCCAACTCTGTAAATCGATTACCATGACTCGCAGCTCCACGTTTAGCCAATTTGAGTACAGTCCTTACGTTGGAAGTTACCGAGACAAACGTTATTGTTTCTACTTGAAGTAAGTTACGGAATTATGAGTTACCAAACGTGCATATTAAGAAGGTTATAACGAAAAGTCTAGATTACGAATAATCATGATAATGCGGACACTCACGTGTTTGGCCGGGTAGTCCTATGAATATAACGATATGATTATACTACGAATTCTAAAGTTANGATTTCAACGGGAAGTTCCGCGCAGCCTGGTAATCGATTATCCAACTCTGTAAATCGATTACCATGACTCGCAGCTCCACGTTTAGCCAATTTGAGTACAGTCCTTACGTTGGAAGTTACCGAGACAAACGTTATTGTTTCTACTTGAAGTAAGTTACGGAATTATGAGTTACCAAACGTGCATATTAAGAAGGTTATAACGAAAAGTCTAGATTACGAATAATCATGATAATGCGGACACTCACGTGTTTGGCCGGGTAGTCCTATGAATATAACGATATGATTATACTACGAATTCTAAAGTTAAAGGGCAACGTACACCCTCTAATGCAGGGATTGACGGTAAACGACGGGATGACCGAAAGACGCTAACGACGGACAATGAATGGCCACACGCGTAGGCCTTTTTCCCATCGTCCTTCTTCTTCTCCTTCTCGCCGGAAACCTCCTCGTTTGGCTGCTGCTGAGTGGCCGAAAAATGCAAGGGTGAGAGAGGGAGACTTGTGGTGTTTGATTGCTTTGGGGGTTACAAAAGTGAGGGGAGAATGAATGGGGAGAGTGGGGGTTTTAAGGGAAATGAATGGGGAGTAAATGTGAGTATAATGGGGAGTTAAGGGGGATGGGGTGGCGTGTGGAAGGAAAATGGGAGTTATCTCCCTTAATTAATTCCATCGTGTTAAAAATATAACCTGAACGGTACGCGCTTCCTCTCCCGAGCGGATCCAAACTGAGATCCGTTTGCGTTTTTGGAATTAGATAGTCAAATCAAATTTCATGACGTGATCAAATAATTTTCCTAAGGATTTTATTTTCCTAATCCCGATCCGAGTTAGTAATTAATAAAATTAATAAATTCTAATAGACTAGGTCGTAGGGCGTTACAGTTATCCACCCCTTAAGAAAATTTTGTCCTCGAAATTTACCTGGTCATTGGTCACTAAAAAGATGAGGATAGCGGGTGCGCATGGATTCCTCGGTTTCCCATGTCGCCTCCTCAACGGTGTGACTTCTCCACAGAACCTTGACCAACGGAATGGTTTTGTTTCTCAACTGTCGGATCTCACGAGCCAAAATCTCAACCGGCTCCTCCTCGTATGAAAGATTCTCGTCGAGAGTGACCGTATCTGCTGGTATCACGTGCGAAGGGTCTGATCGGTATCTTCGGAGCATAGACACGTGGAACACATTGTGAATCTTGCTCAACTCCGATGGTAACTCGAGCCGGTAGGCTACAGGTCCCACCCGTTCGGTGATTGGGTATGGGCCTATAAACCTTGGACTAAGTTTACCTTCCTTTCCGAAACGTAGGACATTCTTCCAAGGAGAGACCTTCAAGAAGACTTTGTCTCCAACTGCATACTCAATGTCGCGTCTCTTAAGGTCGGCGTAGGACTTCTGTCGGTCCGATGCCACCTTAAGTACCTGTACTAAGTACGGGGTACCACACACAAGTTTGATGAATAATCAGTTACGAATAGACTATGATGCAATGCCAATTAATCATGGTGCATGAGTTAGACTACGCAGGGACCCCCTGCCCTTCGGTGATCATCCCCACGCGGTGGATGAGCCGAGGAACACCTTAGTCATCCCGTTGGAGACTAGAAATGTGGGTGATAGCCAAGCCTAGCTACCATGTACGTACACAAGCCCTCTATATGTGAACCCACTGGACCCCGTACGTTCCGGAACGGGCCCGCGGAAGAGGCGCATTGGGCCTGACCTCTTGTCGCGGCATGCATAGTATGCCATGATCCTAAACATGCGTCTAGGATATACATGATGATATGAAATGCATTGATGAGGTTATGTTCAATGCATACAACCATACTTGATTCCATATGAAAACAGCTTATTCAACATGGCAGACCTAGGTTCAGAACTGGCCGACAATCGACTAACCACTGTTGATAATCGATTGTCATGCTGTGCAGTTTTTGTTCCCAAGTTCCGCAGGCCATGACAATTGATTGACACCTCATGAAAATCGATTGTCAAGGTATTGTGTTCAAGGCGCCCAAGTTCAGAGAGGCCTGATAATCGATTACAGCTATGTGATAATCGATTACCAGTAGAACCATCCCAGACTTGAGAATACGCAAGGCCTGACAGTCGATTATAGCTATGTGTTAATCGATTGTCACACTCTGTAGATTTCAACGGGAAGTTCCGCGCAGCCTGGTAATCGATTATCCAACTCTGTAAATCGATTACCATGACTCGCAGCTCCACGTTTAGGCAATTTGAGTACAGTCCTTACGTTGGAAGTTACCGAGACAAACGTTATTGTTTCTACTTGAAGTAAGTTACGGAATTATGAGTTACCAAACGTGCATATTAAGAAGGTTATAACGAAAAGTCTAGATTACGAATAATCATGATAATGCGGACACTCACGTGTTTGGCCGGGTAGTCCTATGAATATAACGATATGATTATACTACGAATTCTAAAGTTAGAGGGCAACATACACACCTCTAACGCAGGGATTGATGGTAAACGACGGGATGAACGAACGACGCTAACGACGGACAACGAATGGCCACACGCATAGGCCTTTTTCCCCTCGTCCTTCTTCTTCTCCTTCTCGCCAGAAACCTCCTCGTTTGGCTGCTGCTGAGTGGCCGAAAAATGCAAGGGTGAGAGAGGGAGACTTGTGGTGTTTGATTGCTTTGGGGGTTACAAAAGTGAGGGGAGAATGAATGGGGAGAGTGGGGGTTTTAAGGGAAATGAATGGGGAGTAAATGTGAGTGATAATGGGGAGTTAAGGGAGATGGGGTGGCGTGTGGAAGGAAAATGGGAGTTATCTCCCTTAATTAATTCCATCGTGTTAAAAATCTAACCTGAACGGTACGCGCTTCCTCCCCCAAACGGATCCAAACTGAGATCCGTTTGCGTTAATCAAATTTCATGATGTGATCAAATAATTTTCCTAAGGATTTTATTTTCCCAATCCCTATCCGAGTTAGTAATTAATTAAATTAATAAATTCTAATAGACCGGGTCGTAGGGCGTTACACAATGAGACAAAGAAAGTCAATAGGGTTAGAAGAGATTAGAGCTTTTAGCTTGTTTAGGGAGGAGGCAGCTCCACAAACGTTGTAGAATATACAATTCATAAGTGCTTTTTTTGGAGTCCTTCAAGAGTCTTAGCTTTACTCCTTTTCATAATTGTTCTAGCAACAGAGGGAGTCTCATGATTAACTGCTTTAGGAATTGCTAGCTTTGGTGAATTATGTTTAGGCATTGTAATCTCAAAGGGTTGAAGCTCTGAATTAATCCAAATAACTGGTTCCTTTTCTCCTTCTGTGTGATAACCTGCATCCTCAATGTAGTTCTCCTCACTTTCTCTGATTGTTTCAATATCCTCAAGCTCAATTGCTTGAACCTGATTCAAAAAAATGTCATCTAAAGATATGAGAGGAGGTTTAAAGCTGGGTGTTGTTGTCTTTGAAATGGAGTTAGAGTCCCCAATCCTTGATGATGTGTTGAGTTGATTGGAATTTCCTTTCTCATTATTCTGCAGAAATAAGTTAGTGGCAAAATTTCTGGCTGCTGAGAAGGATGGAAAGTGATCCTGAACCTTGAAGATGGAATGAAGAACCCAAGATGGAGAGTGGGAGTCAGAAACAATATCCTTTTGAGAGGGTGAGTTGAAAGGAACTAAACTATTTTTCTGCACATCAGTAGGGTCTGTACTGTCAATAACTGCCACTGAACCCTTACTCTTTTGGCTTGAAGTTGTTGTAACTGGATTATGGGTCCCAGATTCCACTATATCCTGTTGCCCCTTGGTTTTTGAATTGAGTAATGGAACCCATATCTGTTTGGATTTGGTGAATGTATCCTGGCTCCTCTTGGAAAAATTATTTCTCAATGTCCAGCCATTCCCAACTGTGCCCACTCCCAACTGTGCCCACTGAGGATGTAGCCTGGCCCCTCTTGGGATTGTCTATTCCCAATGTCCAGCCATCCCTCACAGTAACTTTAGAGGAAGTTGCCTGGCCCCTCTTGAGAGAGTGTGTTGCCTGGCACTTCTTAGATTGATTATCTAATATCCAGCCATCACTCCTCTTAGAACTATCACCAGTGGGACCCCCCCCCCCTATGCCAAATTACTGTGGCATCCTTCTGAATAGATTTTTTTCTTTTAACCACAGTCCACTCTCCTGTATCTGTAGCTTGATCCTGATCTGGCTTGCCAGATTTAGGGGCTGATTTTTTTAAGAGACCATGAATCTTGCAAATAAAATTACTAGGGCCAAGCTTGTGACACTGCTGACAGAATCCTGGAACATTTTCAAACTTGCAAGGTAGGACTAAATCTCTAGGACCAATTCTAATATGAATTTGAGAGGGGAGTGGTTTTGCTAGGTCTATTTCAATACAACACCTTGCCTCATTGGTTCTTATTATAAGGTTGGCAGTTTGGAAATCCATGAGTATAGGCTGACCAATGGTGCTAGCAATGGTGAATAATGCCACTGGGTTAATAAAATGTGTGGGGAGTTTGCTGATGGTAACCCATAAGGGAACTACAGAGCAGTCTTGGAGGGGAGTCTTGGTTGATTATCCATGTACCTCTAATGAAGAATCTCAGGTATTCCTCCTCTTTGTGGAAGAGAATAAGTACATCATTGTTGAGCAGTCTACGTAACTTGAATCCTCCCTGGAACCCAGTCCCTTCAAGAAAGCTCTTGAGAATGTTGAGATTGATGAATCTATCTCCTCTTCCAACTAGGGCATACTTGCAGCTTACTGCCAAGCAATCTTTCTTCATCTAGGGTAGTGAATGTGGCTGATGGCATCTCTTTAAATGTAGCCTCAATCTTTCCCAGGACTTTATTTCCTTCTTCTTGAAAAATCTGACTGAAAAATTTCTTAACTTGAGGTTGTGTATGTTGGCTATAGAAACTTTTGGTTAATGTATTGAATGATTTCTCATGGTGAATTGCCGGATAACTGCCTGGAAAACCAGAGGATTCCGACGAGATTCTCTCTCTAGGCATGTTTATATATATATATATATATATATATATATATATATATATATATATATATATATATATCCCCACTCCTTTTCATTATTGCTAGCGAGGTGTTCCTAAGGATGATCAAGACCAACATGGAGAGTAAATACATTAAGAGGTTCAACACTGGTAGAAATCTCCTAGTCAGTCATCTAGCCTATGCAGATGATATAATTATCTTCTTAAAGGGAGGAGTCAGAAACTTTCTCAAATTCAATGTCATCCTTAAGGAGTATACAGAGGGCTCAGGGCAAGAAATTAACTACAGCAAGTCCAAGTTCTATGTAGGGAAAAAGGCTAAGCACAATCAAATTTCTAGGATGGAGATTGCCATTGGCATGTCCCATGACAGTTTGCCCTTTAAATACTTGGGAGTCCCAATCTGCAAGGGCAAACTCAAACAAAATCACTGTCAGGACATACTGGAACACTTCGACAGACATATCAAC